TCCAGTGCTTATGTGAAGTCAATCAGTCAGTTCTTCTACACGGGTCGGAAAGTTGCATTGCGAGTCACGAAAACCATTTCCAACCGGCTACTTAAGACTTGTACCAACAGCTGCCTCCAGACTGAAGATCGAATGGCCAGCTGGTCAATCAGAAAGAATCAGAAACAAGAAATTCTGGCTAGGAAAAAACCTACGAATAACCGATCGCTTAACATCGCACTCAATGCAGACCATCACTCCGGTGGAATCCCATTGGTAAGCAACGAGTGGGTCGTCAATGTGAGGTTCACATGGATGAGGTTGCGTGGTGAGGAGGAGGAGGAGATGGGAGATTAAGGGCAATCGTTTGGCCAGCCAGCTGAAGAGGATAGCAGAGTATAGAACAAAGTGGAGATAAGTTTTTGAAGTCCTATGTTTCGCTCGGAACCCAAATGAATAATAACACTAATATTAATATTCCATAGATTCCTCTCATTTAAAACGTATGTGTGTAATGTCAGGGGAAATAATACCTTACCAGAGCCACGGATTCTCGTCACTAAGTGCTGAAGTCTGAGATGTCATTAAAGAGCTAGTCTTCACACAATTGACCATAATAGTGATATTGACTGGAACAACAACCATCACGTCAATTCGTAGTGTAGTCAGCAATCCAGACGATTCATTACTTCAGTAAGCTTCCCAAATTATTTTGTTAGATTGTCGAAAGGCACAAGGTTCTACAGATAAAGTATAATTTAATAACAGAAATTGGAGTGACAAACCTGAGAAAAGACAGAAATTCAAAATGCGCACTTTTCAATTTTTAATGCGCCTATTCAGTAGACCTTGAATCGTAATTAATTAAAACAAAAAAACAAAAAGTAATGTCTATTAAATGTTGACCTATTTTATTTATTTTCTTCCATTTTTCTCTTCTTCTTCTTCTTTTTCTTCTTTAGATTGATTTACAAAATATAAAAGAATTATATGAAAAATTCTTTTATAAACCATTAACTCAGAGTATAGCTTCTGAAACACAAGGCGGTTTAAAGAAATTATTATTAATTCTTCTGAATTGTGAATAGAAAAGAAAAAGTGAAGAAGTCTGAAAACAGCAGACTAGAGAATGAAGGAAAAGAAGACGAACAATATCAGCAATAAAATCGATAAAAGTGACCAACTTTCTTATCTTTTTAAACTATTTGTTTCTTTCAATAAAGCATAAAATATACTAGAGTTAAATATAGTTATAATTAAGCTTCATACTCACTAGTTTTCAGAGTGAAAGATTCGTGAGAATTTTAAAGATGAGTTTCAGTATCTGGAAGTTCGTCACGAATCAAAGTCACTTAGAGAGAGTAAATTAAAAACCAAGGAGTAGTCGACGGAAATTTCGTCCTACTTTGGGACTCTTCATCAGTGTGCAAGGCCCCACTGCCAGCAATGGGAAGCCAGACAATTCAAACTATAAGATCAAACACGTTGACTATTCAAGCATGTCAGATGAAATTCAATGACCCTTGAATCCTAAGCTTGTCAATTCGTCGATAACGCGTTCGACGAACATTCATTCCACCATGATGTGGCGGACCCCACTGGTCACGGCTTTCTACTGCAGCTTCAGAAAATCGATTCTGTAGCCATCAGTAATGGGAAGATTACAGGATGATTTGTGGGGACTCTGAATTAATTCCAACTGTTAGATTTTCTTCGTGAACCACTGAAATCCAATGCACCGCGATGAATAGTCAAGGAGCTTGATCCTGTAGCCTGAAGCTCCTGGGTTTGATTCATGGTGAGGGCATGGGTGCGATTATTGATAGGGAGTCCCGAAATATGACGAAACGTCTGTCCAATGCCTCCAGGTTTTAGTCAAATTTACCTGGCTTAGGTAGAACTAGGATGATGAAACTAATTTAACAGCCCTTATTGTAACACTAAGGAACACAATATTCAGCGAAGAGACTCTTTTCAAAAAATGTGTCATCAACCTATACAATCATATATATATATATATACTTGTGAGTTTTAAGAAACTATCTCCTGTGAGGAATTATAAACTAAAGTTGTGAATATTTTTATTAATAATAATAATGTGAAATTCAATAAAATGTTTGTGATTGTAGCCAAAGGGGTTAAACCTCGGCCTGCTTGAAACTTGGACTACCGAAAACCTTTGTCAGTATACTGCATACAATACCCCTAGTTTTCTTTTGTTTCAGTCTATTAAAGTATGAAATTCAATGGCGCTTTCTACACCTGCGAGTATTTAAAAGTGTCTGCATTGAGCTCATTCTCAAGTTTATTAGAAACTTGAGGAAAAGCGCAATCGTAGGTGGCAACCTCTCTGAATATATGAGATAATTTCTTCGGAGATTTTTAGTACAAACTGCCACTGCTGGTGAATTGAAACTAACTAACTACCTGCAGTCTTTAATTATTCACTTATGACATTGAGTCTCAAATTGTACTCCTGCTCCATATTTCAGCGGCTTTCTTCCCCTTAACCCTCTTGCTTTTTTATTTTGCTTTGCTTATTATTACAGTTATTATTATTCGTCATAATTCATGCCCTTCATGCAAACACTGTCTCAATACTATCGAATTTTCCATTCATACTATCCGGACTTATTATTAGTGATATTATCACCCTTCTTAATATATGCCTCCGCCTGTTTCAATTCAAACATTCGTTATTTCATTATGAACCTCTCATTGTAGTCTTACTATCTCCTGTTTAATACATCCCACTTTGTACTAGCCACTCACCCCTGACACCTTTTATAACCTTGAAATGATTTGTCAATTTTCCTACCCCACACTCTACAAATCTATTATGACTAGTCACCACCACTATTTCCCATTTTACAATGTTTCGTAATCGATTTCAGCCTAGCATGTTTGTCACACAAATACGACTTTTTTATTTTGACACCCCATAACTGCTAATCTGTCAAATATGTACCCGCCGCATAAGTGGCCATTATTGTAACGACAACAAATACTATATGTATTTTATAATTGTGAGAAATTATTGAAAAGAATGTTCTTCGTTCAGATTGACTTTTAAATCATATCATATATGAAATATGGAACAACACGTGGAATCAAGTGATGGGAATCTTTAATATACAGAATAGTTCATAGAATGTATAGATCTTTGGAAGAAGCATGAAGTTAGCAGGACAAGGGAAATAAAAACACCAAGTAATAAAGCCATGACAGGATATTCCAGAATGGGTATACGAAGGAGAACCCTTGGTCGGCTTATGAGAATGAATCAACGCTGACGATGATTTTAAGACCATTTATCCAATTATTTGGATTTTGCGGATGATTTATGTTTAATGTCACACAAACTCGAAGACGTGTAGGCGAAAACCAACAAACTGAATGAAAAAGCGGCGAAGACAGGACTGCAGTTAAACATAGAGAAGATGGAGGTGATGAGAATAACCAACTAACAGCAACAGCAACCAGCATCATTCACCAAAAATAGGAGAGATTTAACAGAGGTTACCTCCTTCACTTGATCGACCAGGAACTATCGTTTCAACTGCAGGCACATGGCAAGGATGAATATGCCAAAACTGGCCAGCCAAAATCGGAAGGGCAAGATACGCCTCCATCAACCTGAAATCAGTTTGCAAATCTTCTGCATTCAACATTAGGAACAGGATTCTGATTTTCAACACTCATATCAAGTTGGTCCTTCTTTACGGGTGAGAAACTTGCAGTGTGTGTCACGAAAAGGATTGCCAATAGCTTACTGCAGACTTTTATCAACAGCTGCCATCATCACTGACTGGCTTCACAGTGAAGATCAAATGGCCAACCGGAAATAATTAACAATTAGAAACTCTGCAGAGGAAAAAATCAACAAGCGATAGCGTATTGCTCAACAGTTGTGTAGGAGAAAATTCAGATGGATTGATTGAGTATACGTTGATGAGAACGTCGAATGACATCACGCGCAGTATTGGCCATCACTCGAGTGACATGAAGGAGAACGAGTGGGTAAGAGAGAAGAGAGTATAGGCATTCGTAGACCCAGATGAAGAGTACAGCATGAAATAGAAGGATGTTAAGATGTGTTGTTGAAACCCTATGTTTCACTCGGAACGCAAAGGAACAATAATAATAATCCAATTTGTCCTTACCTGTCGAGTTAACATGATATTAGGATTTCGAAGACAGTGGAGGCCCTGACTATTCATGAATCCAAGACAAATGTTTGCATACAAAGGAATTATGTACATAGTCAATATCTCCGCCTTGATCTTAGAAGTGAAGGGAGGAATGAAATAATATTTACTGATTTATTTACCCTCCCTCTCGTCTATTTAATCTGTGAACCTTTCCTTTCATATAAGAACAGAATTTGAACAATGTAGTACAGGAATTCGTCTGGAGACTAGGTTGGTGTGAGGCGTTCACTCCTTTGTTTTTCTGCAGACTATATCATACTAGCTCAATGAAAACGTCTCTGACTGATGTACTTTGTGACACGGATTCCAGTGTCAGTGGAGACATGAGTTCCTTCAAGACTGCGAATACGTTCTGCTTACTGGTGAGTGCCAACAAGCATTAAACCTATATCAGGCAAGGCTTCCTGCCGACTACCTCCAACGGTCTAACCGCTCTGATAGAGTATTTTTAATTTGATATTCACTTTGAACAATTTCCAGAATTATTTGACTGATCTCGGTTACTTGTTTAAAGTCGGTGTTTCTTTTGCAATGTTAAAATCTATTCTGGGAAACTTCTCATTATGTTAAGTAATAATTTTATTTCTCAACTTAAACCGTTAACTTAATACCTCTTTCTAAGATCTACACATTCATTTAACCATTTGCATATTACATAAATTGTTTTGTCGCCTGATACTGAACTATGATCATACTCACAAACAATTCGTCGCAGTTTATATTGCTATTAATAAAGGTATTCCCAACTTTTATTGAAGTTTCCTCATAGGATATGGTTTCTTAGAAATCATGTTTATGTATACGAGTTTAAAAGAAGTTCAGTGACAGAATTCTCGTCAACCACTTGGGAGGTGTGGTTTCAATTCTTAGCTAATACATGCCTCAGCCTAGCTTATTTTAATTCCAGATTAGATAAGTTTTTCTGATATGAGTGATATGGATACAGTATATTTATGACTAAATGACGTCTTGAGACGAATGCATTGTTTATGATCATGTCTGATAACAAGTATCTAGGTATGGATTTCGCACGTGGATGATTTATGTCTAATTTCACAACAAATTCTAACACTTATAGGCTAAAATCGACAAAAACTGGAAGAGGAAGCAGCTAAGATAGGACTTCATATGAACGCAGATAAGACAGAAGTGATAAAGATAACCAGCCAACACCAGCATCAGTCACCATCAATAGGAGAAAATCGAAACAGGCAACTTCCTTCGCTAGGTAGTATCGTTACAGCTACAGCGGGAAATGATGAAGATATCAGAACCAGCCAGAATCGGAAAGGCTAGACAAACCTTCATCACACTGAAATCAGTTTGAATATCTTATGAACTCAGTATAAAGAATAAGATTCAGATTTTAAACACAATTTTTGAATCAGTTCTTCTAAATGGGTCAGAACTTGGTCATAGCGTCCCTAAAAGCATTTCCAATAGCCAGCTGCAGATGTTTATCGACAGCTGGATTCGCTGCCTCTATTCTGAGGATTAAATGGCTGGCTAGAAACAACGACGAGGAACTACAGGAACAAACCAGCCAAGAGCCTATTGCTCAACAAATTTGCAGAAGAAAATGGAGATGGATTGGTCAAACGTAGAGGAGACCCTCAGGTGAAGTGGTGCACCAGGCCATCGCTCAAGGAGAACACGAGGTTGGAAAGGAGGACATAGTGCTAGGAGAAAGTGAGAAGTAGTGCACAATCGTATGTCCAGCTAAGCAGGACTACAGAAAATAGGGTAAAATGGAGACATGCTGCTGAAGCCTTATGTTCTGCTAAGAACCCAAAGGAACAATAATAATTCATGGATAATCCCATCCAGGCATTAATGCAAACAAAACACGTAGATCAGCGGAGAGTCTCTTTTCGGCGAATTCATTTTCTTAGCTGTACAATAGCAAATATATATGTGTTATTTTGTATGTATGCGTACTTAAGTTTGTCAAACAAAATTACAATCGGTTATAGTTATTTTAACTAAACAAGTGAAGATTTGTAATACAAGTCAAGAAAATTACGTGTTAATGAAATTAGGGTTGTAAAAAAGGTGATGAGTTGTCACAAACAGTTGTTAAAAGAAGTTATGCAATAATATGAATAGTTCGATGAGTGAGGTTTACTCAGGATGCACATAGGAACAAAGTAGATAATATGAAATTACGTAAGAGTTCTAAATCAATAAAAGAATTATAAGCAATTAAAGGACAGGCAAAGAAACAAAATTAAGTCATCCAAATTTAAAAAAATCAAATCAAATCAAAACAAGGTTGTTACCATGACAGTAGAAGTGGTTGAATAATTCTCTTTTGTATCCACTGCTCCGGTTTTTCTATGTGAATGGCCAGAGCTTCAGTGATACAAAGATGACGAAACCGTTTGCCTTTGACAGGTTATTCTTGACTCTGTAGATTACTTTGAAGCAGGAGGCGTTTGTTATTATGAAATGGTCAGCGCTAGTCAGGTGTTGTTCAATTATCGCACTCCTTATTGCACCACGATTGCCTTTTCGCAGCCATGCTGAATAGTGTTCTTGAATCCTCTTGGACAGGATGCACGTTGAACGACAGATATACCATGCTCCACAGCAACAGGTGAACGGATATATGCACACAGAAGTGGCCTGGTGCATGATCTTGTCCTTAAGGCTTCTGCAGATCATTGGGCGACTGAAGAATACTATATTAGCGTTACTGCCAACAATGTTCTTCTCAGAGATGATGCGATCCTTCACTCGAGAATATCGCTTGTTAAATCTACTTTGAAATCCAAGTTCATATGGAGTTTCTTTTTGGGTGCAAGTGAAGTTTCATTTCTACGGATTTTCGGTTTGATATTTTTATCAATGAACCTTGGTGGATATCCACTTTGGATGAAGACTTCTTTCAAAAGATCTAAATTAGTACTAAGACCAATGTAGTAAGCAAGGATGGATGAGACATTTTTGAAAATAAAATTCAGTTGTCTCCTTAAGAGTTGCTAAGGATTCGGCTGAATGAAGAACATTTAAGAAGAATCCTTTTGAACGTCTCCGATGATGTCACATGACAGGAAGTAGTGCTCTACTCCAGAATTGAGCTGTTCAATGTTCTTCATTCTTCTTCTGACAACCATGCTGGTAAGCGCGTCTAGACATATCTCCTGTTGGTATGGTCAATGTACTTTCTTCCACTGGGGAAAATGAATCGGTAAATGCATACTGAAGTAGACTCAGAGGGTTAATTATCTCTTCCACAAGTCCAATTTTTAAGACCAACAGAAGGAAGTCAACAAAGATCAATCCATCACAAGCCAAAATGGAATGGACAGCTGAAAAACTTTTGCAGTCGAGTGCCAGTTAGCAGAAAAAGAAATTTTACCGCTTCTCTTTCGACTAGAGAATCTACCACATGCCCTAAAGACACACTGAGCATGGATCCATTTTCATTCCTTTGCTCTTTTATTTCTTTTCAACTATTTCCAAACGATATTTTATCACTTGGAGGATTTAATAATGAGCTGACATCAATTAGAGAAACATTGAAAAACCTGCAGGGAGTACTGGACATCTGTTTCCTCCGTCCTAGTTTGGCACTCTTCAACAGCACTCACCCACCGCCAAGGCTGAAACCTACAACCTTCTGGTCACAAGGCGAGGGAGCTCATAGACCACTGAGCCACTGGGACCTGGTCCAATGTCCAGCCCATGAATTTTAACTTCTGCCAATACATGACAGAGCGAGACCACTTCGCACTGTCTTCTTCGATGAGTAACTGTCCTCTCTCTCTCTAAGTGATGTCAGCTCACACACTCTAATTTAATTTGTTACTAACAGTAACCTTTGACCTATGAAGTGAAGTTAGGGAAAGAGATCTCTTTACTGATCCATGTATACTAAATTTCGGAAAAGGCAGATGCTTGCGCATTCCACTAACAAAATCTTCGCAAGTCACAACTCAGTGTAACCCCTCCGGCTTCTCCATCTTCGCTAGCCTGACTACTATTACCAACAAGAACTCATTATGAAACCTAGTCATCAGTCAAAGAATATCTGGAGATAGTCATCATACCAATTACCAATCTCCTCTTTTCCATATATCTCATTATAAGGAGAAGTGGCAAGACTCCAGTTGGATCACTTGCGTTAAACCCATAGCTAGCTACGGATCCAAGTGCTGAATCCTTCAAGGATAACTCATCATAACACAATACATCTATGTGTTATTTTTCTGTCTCACTACTAACAAAGTACTTTTCACCCATCAATATTAATCAGACTCAAGATTTGTCAATAATATCTCTAAATTAACTATTGAAACCATTGAATGGAAGCGCCATATTCAACTCATCATAGTATGACACATATGACTAGTATTATTTTAAATAGATTATTATACATTAAGTGAAGTATTAATGAAATTTGTCATAAGTGGTATGATTTAGTTGGGTTTTTTCTTTCTTTTTCGCTTTCTGTAATGTAGAAAATGCTCATTGAAAATGAGAAAAAACGCCTTAATGCTAAAATTTCAATTATGTTTAAATTGTCGCTCTAATTTAAAATGAAATTCTATGCAGTAAAACAAATATACAAACATAGATATGTTGATGTACTTTAAAATGCCTTCAGAAACAGTTAATAAATAGTAGTACTAGCATAGTACACATATTCTTTCATTTTACTGTCCTCTTGAAGACACCAAGCAATATTCATTTCTACATATACGGGCTTTTAATTGTAATGTATATGTCGATATATATATGCATATATATCTTGTGTGTGTATCAGTATGAATTGGGTATATGAGTACTCATGTTTCAACCTTGATAGACATTCCATATTACGCTTTGTTATTATTTTTCTGTCTTACCACTTTCTGCTGACTGGCATAAAAATTTTTAAATTTTTCTACATATCTGTAAATATTATTCAGTATTTGTTCAATTTAGTCAGACCATACGTGTTTCTTAAGACTGTTGTCAGGGTAGCCTGTCTGATTTGATTTTTTTGGTGAATTCTTGAATTTGTCAGTATGGTGTAACTTTGAGCTTTATTGGTAAAGGATGTTCCTAGTTTGAAGTTAGAGGTTAGGAGTGATTCAGCCCTGACTGCTGGTAAAATCGTAGTACAAGCCTTATGAAGCATTCTCAAATGAAAGTCATCTCTCTAAAGAAATCATGATATCTCTGTACAGCAGTTCACTCCATCCTGCTTTATGATTGTGAAACATGATGATCTGTAAGTGACAATAGGTGTTTGCATCCCATCTCCCATGTTAAGTGATATAATATGGTGAGTAATGCTGGGGTTAGGTTTATTTAGTGTCAGATAGGGAAAGTAAAACAGTCGATAAAATCGTGAAGCTCCATTGATTGAGATGATTAGGACAGACATTGTGCATGCTCAGCTACTGCCTTCATCTGATTGGTATCTTAGGTATCCGAGTTAAAAACTGGAATGGATCTATAAGACCTTTGACTGTAGGAAGGTTTATACACCCTGTTCAGTACTCCCAGGATTTCCAATGGTTCTCTAAGTGATGTCAACTCATGATGAAATCCTCCATGCAATCAAACAAAATCCCTACAAAACCAATACTTGAAAATTGATCTGATGCTCACTAGCGACTGTGCCTATTCAGGGGTTCTAATGGGAAGCCGTGACCAGTAGGGTACAACAGGTTGAAGGTGAGGCAGCAACTCATCAAAGAAGACATTGAGAAGTGATCGCGCTACGTCATGAATTGGCAGAAACTTGAATTGACGGACTGTTTGTCCATTAGATCGGCTCCTAGTGTCTTAATGGTCTACGAGCTAGCTCGCCTTGCAACCAGAAGGTCCTGGATTCGAGCCCTGGAGGAGAGTGCGTACTGCTGGAGAGTCCCAAACTCGGATGACGAAACATCTGGCTGTTCTATAATTCCTGTAGGTTTTCCAATGGTTCTCTGCCTGATGTCAGCTCATGAAGGAAATCCTCTAACTAATCTTTGAGATCCTAAGTTTCAGTGGCTAGAGACTGTTGGTGATTTGGATATAATTCACTACCTCATAGATTTGTTCAGTCTTCATATTTTTTTCATGCATCCCTCTGAAACCAGTTAGGAAATCTTTTGCACTCAGCATGAACAACAACCTTCGGATTCTCGACACCACGTATGCTAATTCAGTCAGTTCTTCTATATGAGATAGAAACTTGGTGCCAGCGTCATAAAAAGTAGACTGTTATCAACAACTACCTCCGCTCCATGTTAAGGACTAAATGGTCGGTGAGGAAGAATTACCAACAAGAAACTGTGTGGACATACCAACCAAGAACCTTTTGCGCTCAACAAATATGTCAAAGAAAATGTAGATGAGTTTTGCACACCCTATGAGGCTTTCGAATGACATCTCAGGCCAAGCTATTGGTCAGTTTGGGACCCGAATGGGAAACAAAGAGTTTGGCGTGAGTCCAAGGGTGACATGGAGGAAATGGTTTGAGGAGGTCGTCAGAGAATATGGGCAGGAATAGTGGAACCAGCTAAAGAGGACTTCAGGGAGTACGACAAGATGTAGATGTGCTAGTAAAGCTCTATGTTTCACTCGTAACCTAAGGGAACAATAATAGCAATGATACAGTCTTGTCGGGTACAGGTTTTTTGAATATTGTTTCTTTTTCTAATACCTCTGTGTAATAAACGTAGTGTTGCGTGTTGAACCCATATAGTATTTATCCAGGAATTTCTTTGTTTAAACTGTGTCATCCAGTCAATCATTCAATTCATTCAGTAAATTAGAACCCGTGCTACACAACGCTGGCGTTAAAAAAATAATACTTCCTACACATCTGAATCTGAAATCACATTCTGTAGGTATGTAATGTTATGCTGACTGGACACAAGAATAAGATCGAGGTCATACAAATGTTTGTCTGCAATCGTATGAAATCAACAGAAACTGCGACTCGACGACGTGTCAGGCACTAGACACCTGATACTAGGGACTTTCAAGCGATTAATCAGTGCATACAGTGAATCTCTTGATAAATTACCCTTATGATAATATCAATAATTTAAAATTCTTGTAATGAAGCCAGTAAACACAGTTAGTTCGAGCAGAGATAATTAACTTGCAGACCTTACGAATAACATAGACAGTGAACATAGTTAACGGAGAACAGGAAGTAGAAAACTATGAAACTGATAATAACAAAAGAAACTAGATAAAGTGTTTGTATCTACACATTCCCGGTGGGCGGTCTTCCTTTTCTAATGAGAAACAAGAGCTTCTATCTTACAAAGAAGATACAAAATGACATTTGTCTAACTTTCTTGAAGTTTACTTTAAAAAAAGTTTTGACTTTGTGTCAGTAATTTTCCATCTTCATTCTGATTTCTACACCTTTTTAGGTTATCTGTTTCCGTGAATGAAATTTCTCTTCCATGAAAGTAATTATCATGACTAATGTGGGATTTGACATTTTAATAAAATCTATATTTTACCTTCCTACTGCAAATGCTTTACTGAATGCTTCAATTGTCAGGCTTTCCTCCTCTTTCCATATTAGATACGTTCATTTCAAATGGTTAGAGGATTTCATCATGAGCTGACATCTGTTACAGAACCACTGGAAAACCTGAAGGGAGTACTGGACAGCTGTTTCCTCCGTCCTAGTTCGGGACTCTTCATCAGTACGCAGCCACCGCTAAGGTTCTAACCCAGGACCTTCTGGTTACAATCCAATGGCCAGCCAACCCATGAATTCTAACGTCTGCCAATTCACTGCATAGCTTGACTACTTCTCAATGTCTTATTCGACGAGTTACTGCCTCATCTTTAACCCGCTTTATCCTACTGGTGACGGCTTCGCATTAGAAACCCAGGTAACTGCCTACCTGAGTAGAACCAGTCGCTAGTGAGCATCAGATTAATTTTCAACTATTGTTGTATTAGGGATTTTTTGATTGGTTTAAGGATTTCATCGTGAACTGACATAAGTTTTCGGGTTAAAACAAGAAAGTTGAAAGCAGCAGGAGAACACCTCAGTAGACTTTGTTTAAGCAAAAAAATCTACAGTATCATCAGTAAGCTAACCGCCATCAGACTTCAGCCTGAACAACTGAAGTCCAAACTCAAAATTATCGTAAACAACAATGATTATGAAATGTTACTCGAAACAGATGAAAAGTCAAGTTCAGCTGCATTCAATAAATCCAAAAATAATCAAATCAAAAAGTTAAACAAATAAATGGGACAGAAAAATCCTGCCGAAGAAAAAGAACTCACTAATAAAATGCTGTGAACCATCGATAAAACAAAGTGGTTAATTAACTTCTCAACAACAGCTTTCAGTTCTGATGAAATAAGCGTACTTAAGAAAAAAGGATTAAATTTCATTGTAGCTGTTAAGAGATAAAATCCTGAATTTGCTCAATGATCAATACAAAATTCGAATGGAATTAGGTGGTTTCGATTCGCTATGAATGAAATAACCATCTCCCTTATAATGATCTTCACTATGATTAGTTATCTGCAGGTATTTGATCGCTGGTTCAGTGACAGAATACTCATCGAATACTAGGGAAGTCCAGATTGGATTATCTGCCAGCGTTCTACGCAACTACGCCTAATTTTCTAGCCAATAGCAAGCCAGGAAAAGCCGCAAGGTTTGGCGTGAGGCTAATAACTTCACCGTGTAAAATCAACATCCGCACGACTAAAATTTCAAAAGCTGAAGCCGTATGTTCCTCTCGGAACGTACAGGGACAAAAAACAAACTGTCAGCGTGTACACAAAAGACTTCATCACTTGCTCTATATAGTTGTTCATTCCTAACTATTTTGCATTTCAATTTTCCATTTTTTCCTGAAAGATATTACGTCATTTTCTAGTAGATGTACTTGATGGTTGGGTCAATAAACAAAGATTCTGTAATTTCTCTCTCTACCTCAACATATCGCTTCGAAGCTTGAAGTTCGTTGTGTAATTCAGAATGGAAAAGCACAGAGAATGGAAGACACATAAAGTCGCTTAAAATCCTTGAGATGAAAACATAAGGACTACATAACCAAAGAGAGATATTCAAAGCAGATTTTATCACTAACTGGTATGAGTTTTTAAAAAAATCACCCACTGAAAATTAGTCCTAATTTGAGACTTTGAAGTAGTATGCACTTATAAATTCACTACTTACCGGCAGTTAATTATGGATTGGACTAGCTGGAGTTTTAGTGAGAAGTCACGAAATGTAGGGTATACTACGTAGTTTATGATATTGGTTGACTGTGGTCCTATATCACGAACTAACTGAAGCTGGAATTAATGAACCGTTGTCTCAGTGGCTCAATGCTAACATGCTATTTTAGTATTATGAAGGTGATAGTTTTGATTCCTGTTGGGAACACAACTGCATACTGCCAAACGGTCCTTGGTTTCCAAATGTCATTCCGTGATGAAAGCTATTTGACAGACAACAGATTATCAATAAGAGATAATCTGAAATGTCAATGGACAACTGAGAGTCCCCTTTTTTATTCTCTATAACGAGTTTCCCTTATCACAAAATCGCTTAGTGGCTAGCTGAAATACTGGAACCAGTTAGAAGGCAAGTGTCTAAGTATTCCATTGATGATATATTTAAATTTATTGAGAGTATTAAAGATTTTAATGTCTCAGACAGAGTCATGTGTTAACTAGATGTGACTTCGCTATTTACAAATGTACCTCTCATGGAAACTGTTTGCAATATATGTGATTATATTGATACACAACCTGCCCCAAAGAACTTTTATTGAGATGCACGTTGAATGTTCAGTTCACCTTCAGTAATGATATTTTTGGACAGATAAATGGCAGTGAAGTGGGGATCGCCACTAGGTCCATCGCTGGCTGCTTGTTTTATGGCAAAGCT